AATACAAGTGAAAACTAAATACATATTAGTGTTGCTTTTTATCGAAGACGGCCTGATCGGAATTGATCCTGTCCGGCCAGGATAGACTCACAGTTGGTCCGTTCTGAAACGAGTATGTACCTGTATGTAAAGGTGTTTGCCTGTTGGTTCCTATCATTTTGGTCAAACCAATCAAAACAATCAGGTTCTTCACAGCGCAATTGTTATTTTCATTCAACAATCATCCATTATGTACCCCAACAACTTTGCAACTAGAATACATAAAGCAATGATACAACGAAACAACGCTTCAGCACAGACGCGTTTGACAAGCTAAATTTTGCATAAACGGAAGGAGACGTCGTCTTTCCTTGCTTATTCCATGACACAGTATCATAGAAATGTTATTTAAGTAGAATGTAAATTATTATATTTTGCTTCAAATCTTGGCCGTAAACTTTTTTTAACACACGTCAAATATTTTAAATATACTTAGAAATATATAAAAATGAACTTAAATTACAGATGCAAGATTGCCATCTCTTTTAAAATACAATATGGATTTAGTAAATTGTTATTATTCTTTTTTTACGAGGGTTCTCAACAGCAGAGGTCATATCAACCCTCGGGGTGTCGGTGTTTTGAAAAAAAAAAAAAAACATTTATAAGAATGTAGGGTTAGAATGCAGGGCAGCTGGATTCGAACCGTGGATCTTCACCTTACAGTGATGAGCGCCGTGTCAAATTATTAGTAATACTACACAAGGTAAACTTTCAATAATATTTATGCATGTATGCTTATGTATTTGTATACACAATATAGATTTCTGATGTTAAGTATAAATTCCCGGAACGTCGAAGTAAATGTTAATGTTTTATTTTATTATTAAAAAACATGGAAATGTTGTCTGACATTAACCAACATATCATTATATTAATTTTGGAATAAAAACTATATGTCTGGGGTGCGCGCGGGACAATGAGAACAACCCCTACAAGTGCACTTGAACCACTACTAAGCCTACCTCCACTGGAAACATTCAAACAAGGGGAGAAGCTAGGAAAACTCATTTAGGCTCCAAAAACAATCAAATTGGTTGGGAATTGAAAGTTGAGGAAGAACATAGCAGAGCGTCATATACAACGATATGTTATACATATGGCTCCAAAACAAACGAAGGAACCGAAGTACGAAATGTGAACAATCAAACTCATTAGGGAAGTAAACTAAGTCTTTCAAGCAGAATACATGCCATCAATGCTTGTACGCTAGAAAATCTTAAAAGGGGTTACGCTGTCAACAAAATCCTTCAAGCAGCTATTAAAGCATTAGCATGTACAAAAAATCACATCAAAACTAATCAGTTAATGGATCCAAAATCTCCAAAACCTGGGGAAACACAACAACCTCATATCTTGGGGGCCAAGACACAAAGAAAATGTGGTAACGAAAAAGCAGACACACAGGCTAGAGGAGGATCTGTAAGATGGGATAACAAAAACAAATACAGAATCCTCCATCTCAGAATGGATCAAAAAAACAAAAACAAAAGAGAAGTGAATAAACTCTAGGGGCGCTAGACAGAGAAAACTTGGGCTAAAACAACCCTCACCAAGACTGGCAAACTCACTGCTGCAATTGGAGAGGGCCACATTCAGAGGAGTGATAGGACCGAGAAAACATCTACATAACATAGATATATTCAATGATGATCCCATTTGCAGATTATACAATAAGGAGGAAGAAACGCATCCATATCATCTTCGAATGCGAAGCAATGGCACAATGGAGACAAACTAGGATACAAAAAAAAACAGGGAATGATATAGTAACAGTGACATTCAATGACTTAGCACAAAAGCAAGAAGGCTTCAGTGTCTAGGGAGCACAAATCCCCTTCCTCGTATCCACCATCTTCATCATCATCTGCGGTGCGCGCTAGGTTGCAATGTGTATAACAAAAATAATCTGTTAATAATTGAGAACAGAGATAACTTATGATCACTTACAGACAAGAATGGTAGTTTTTTATATCAATTCTTTATTTACTAATTTCAACAGTAGGGAAAAAATCATCCAGTATCAAAAACAACTTATCACTAAGCCGATTAGACGTGCGTTATTACATTACTTTGTAAGTCTACTAATATGCGAAAAGTATCTTTTAAAAAGCCAGGGTTGGATTTTTTTCCAATTGCAGAATTGTGAAAATTTGTTGATTAAATTTGCCAACCTCTTTTCAATAGTCAATGATTTCTTTTACGACCTAACGGATAACTATTCAGCAAATGAAGGTTTAAAACTATCAACGCTGATCAGAAATCATTACGTTAATTGTTATTTATTAATATTTGTTCCTTCGTGAATTTATAAAGTTTTTTAGGTATGTGAATGGATGAAATCCAAAATCTGGAGGGTAAGAAATTTATGACCTTAATAATGAAAATTCATTAAAGATGATATTGCAAAGGCTTTCTTCGACATGGCTCAAGGAATTTAAATCAAAAGTGAAAAAGGTGCCTTGTCGAAGACATCAGCTCTAACATACTAGTATGTTCGTTCTTTATTCGGATTTCAAATGGAATTCTCTTGTCTCACTGCTCACCCCGGCATCACCCGATTCTTCCGGTCGCCAAGGGTTCCCTAGTGCGCCTCCTGCGTGATATACAATTTCAAAGGACTGTTCCCCCATACATACCAGGGTGGTCTCAAGCCAGATTTTTTTCCATACAATTTTATGTACTTTTTTTGTTCAGGTAGAGAAGGAAGGGCAAGTGATTTGTTACACGAGCAGGGTTCTCTTCTATCTCTTGGGCTTCAGCCAAATACCCCTTCGTTTCCTCTCAAACGGTCACTTTTTCTACCGGTCAGTCTATCTCTTCTCCCTTATCTTTTTATGGTGCGAGTGAGCTTTTCACTACTCCCCCAACTCTTTTTTTTCCTTTTGACTTTTTTTAGCTTCAGAAACAAAGAAACTTGATGAAATATGAAGTTGTTTCTTGCTGTAGCTTAACTTTTTTTTGGTGATTCTACCCTCCAAAATATTGGACACGTATCGGCCTCTTATTTTGAATAGGCCCTGGTTTGGCCCAAAAATGTTTTTGAAAGTTGAAATTTTCCGTTTTTTAATGAAAATAGATTTACTAGGTTTTGAGAAAAACGATGTTAGAGCTTGCACGAGGAATGTCAGACACGCAGAAGGATGTCGCAATTATCAGTCAAAAAATTAATTTCCAGGTTAGTCGGTATCTAAGGGTTTTATAATGCTAGGATCACTACAAGGAAATTAAATCCTAGTTTTGACCATTTTCTGTCCTTCTTTGGTACAGAATAATTGCTAAAATATGAAAAAAACAGTATTTTTTTAATTATTTTCATTTTTTGAGATTTTCATGGCTGATAATTCATTTTAAAAATACTGTCAAGTGCATTTTACAACTGTATCAAACATTAAAATTGGGCTATTATTTCCATTAAAAAAAAACGATTATTTTCTGCATTTTCTTATAGAAATCTTTCATATATTTTTATGGTACATACGTGGTTAGAAAGCTGTAGGTACTAAAACGAAATTTCATAATAGTTTCACGAAAAAAATTATGACCTAGTTTACATGAAAAATATTTGGTTTTTAAAAATGTTTTGGTTATTGATAAATTTGATAGCTTTTAGTATATTTTTAATGCAATCTACATAAGAAATGCAGTAAAATGATATATTCAAATAGTAGATTTGAAGTAGAACTGCCAAAGAAAAATATATTTTTTTGCGAAATCAGGGCCTCTTCTCAAGAAGTGGCGGATAAGATCACATCAGTCATCAAAAGACAAATAGTCTTTACAGTAAAAAATGACAATTGACTGAATTTCTAATTAAATCTTATAATTCCCTTTTATTGTTTTTAATTAAGCCAGATTCGAGAGTACTTCCTTCTATTGTACCTTCGGAAATAGCTTAATTAAAAATAACCTACAACATAATGGTTGAAAGGAAAGAAAAGAAAAACCCTTTTAATTGATATTTTTGTGGTTGATTTAAATTTAAAACATTTGTGAGTTCCTCATTTGAAAGTTATTAAAATATATTGAATAATTACAAACATTAAATTAAAAAAATTATTAGCTGAACGTAGTTTGCCACACTTGTACTTTTTCATGAAAAACTAGACGTATCTTTTAAAAGTATAAGAAGTTCAATATTTTTTAATTTTGATAAGGGTTTTGATTTTTTTAATCATAAACTGAGAAAGAAACTTAAATTGCAAATATTTAAGAGTTAACAACCTGAGTTGGTTTTATTTTTTATGGTTCACGCTCTACGGAATGAGGATATTTTGTGCAAATAATAAATAAAACAAATTCAATACATAAACTTAATTCTGAACAACTACTTAAATTTACAATATTAAAAACATTATCATGTCTGTTTACCTAGTATGCAAGTTAGTTCAATAGGATATTAAATGGGAGGAAATGTTTGATGTAAAACAAACAAAAAACTTCAATGGGGAGAAAATAACATTTTTAAGTTATTTAAAAATTACAGTTACCATAAATATACACGAAAACAATAAACGATATTAGATAGCCCCTCATTAAGATATACTATTTCACGACAGGGTCACGTGAATGGAGGGGATACACTGGCTAATTTAATAAACACAGTCACCTCTTTCGTTGTCCATGAGGTCAAGGATATTTGAAGATTGTGTTGGAAAACATTGGATAAACGTTATCAGTTTATAATTTTCAAATCACAAGATTGGCAAATGGGAAAGAACTATCTAGACTATCTAACTCTACAATTTGCCCCTTGTCTACTACTATTATTAATTAAACCATCGAATATTAAAAGTTTCTTTCTGAAATTAAAGGCAACACTACACATATTTGCGATTACGAAAATAATTTATTTTATTAAAAACTGTAACAAGTTTAACACCAGTATTTTGCAACCTTTGAATTGTACTGTTATTTTGTACAATAATAACATATACTTTTTATACAATTTTAACACCTACCTTGTAAACTGTCAAGAAGGTACGTTATCAGCTTGCTCGTTCCGTTCGGCTCCTGATAAAGCTTCAAACACTCCTTGCTCAGGGGGTTGCCGGCCAATCCAAGGACTTGAAGTTGGAAAAGTTTACCAAGCTCGTAAGGGAGCACGCGTAAATGATTATGGTTCAATGACAGTTCTCTGAAACAATGAAATGAAACTTAAGAAATACAACATTCATTTATATTGTTAAGTCAGCTATTAGCATAGTATCAATATGATTTAAAATTTTAACAATTTGGAAGCAGTAAAATTTAACGTTAGTATGGGCATTTTTATTATATTATGAGAACTACTTTTATTCGCTTTAGCAGTTCACACATAATTAATTAGTTCCTTAATTCCTATTACACAGAAGGACTTAATTCCAACTACCCACTCGTTTATTTCAAAAACCGGTTGACAATAACAAAAGTAATTAATTTTAATATTAATATTTTTTATCATTATTAACAGTAATAATTTTCTTTTTTTATTTCAGAAGTAATAAATTTCCTACGAAACAATATTAAAATCAAAGAAATCGCCGCAATGGCTAAAGCGTTGACACGGTGACTGATTATTGGAAGTATCCCCAACATGCTTTTTTATGCAACATTAACTTTTTTTCCAAGAACACCAAGTGTGTTTTCCATAAACACAAAATAAATGAAAAAGAAGATACTAGACCATGAATGGGCGATTTTGTTCATCTTTAATTTTAGAATTTAACTAAAATCATTGCAGCACCACAGGTTGCTTGTGTTAAATCTTCCTGATTTCAAATTTTCACCGTACCTTCTATGTAACAGTATCGAGCGACGCCAAGGACCTGAAGTTTCCTAAGAAGCAGGCTAAAAAATAAAAACTGTGCTTAAACAGTTCCAGGCAAATCGGTTAATTTTAACAACGTTGGTCATGCAGGTTGGCCAAATAAAAAACCATTCAAACTTGGGTAGCATAACCTTTTATTTTGATTGTGACATGACTTTGATTGTTTGCTTATTAAATGACGGAAATCAACTTGAGTTTGACCAACGTTCAGTCCTTGAATTTTTTATTTTTCCAGGTTTTCTGAGGAGATACAGTTGAGGACAGAAATTGAAAAGTATGGTTCGGTTGTCTGTGACGAAACGATTCAGAATCGTTATGACGAACCAATTATTTAATCACCGAATTTGATCAACCGATCGACCCTCCCCCCCAAGTCTGCCTATTCTCACTGGTTCGTTATCAATGTCATACACAATTTAGCATAGCACTGTCTGTATAGACAAACAAAGATAAATAGAAACAAACAAATTTCTGTAAATTTTTATATAGTTACCTTTTAAATAAATCATCTCTAAGCAATATTAAAGGGCATAAAATGTTTCACTTGACCATTAAAAGTACATGTGTGTATTGTTTTTTTTAGTGGCCACATACCATTTTGAAAAACAACACAACTTTGATTTCCACAAAATACACATACTAAATAGGGAAAAAAATACAAACACAACTTTCTAGAAATGGTTTATATTAACAGAGGGACACACAGCATTAATTACAGAACAGATGCATGCAAACTCAGCCGTAGCTACGCCAACATCAAAAAGCAAATAATCCGTTAAACTTTATTTTTATATTTCCCTTTCCTCGTTATCGTCCATAATAATTAACTTCCCTTCCAATATTGAATAAATCCCGAATCACAAATCCAATCCAGAAAATCCTCATTCTCGAATTCCATTAAGTTAAATAAAACCGCTTATAATCAAAGTAAATTTCCCAGATTTACCGCGTCCTCCACCCTGTCACAACCATATAAAACAGCAGAATACAAATTCACGTTTCACAATTTCACACAGAACTAATATTAGATCACAAGAATAGCACCACACTTTATGTGAGTTTGAAATACTGGGTTCAAAATTTATATTTACATCTATATTGTCTATTTTCCAATCAACATATATTTTGTAATTCATCCAGGCCCTGACGATGACCCGAATAAAAGTCGAAACGTCGGCAAAAAAATGAAAAAGTTGTTTTTCTAAAATACTTCATTCTTGACCGCTCCTCACGACTTTAACAAATTATTAAAAGTACATTAGTGTCTAAATATAAAATGATTTTTTAAAGATTATAATGAAGTAAAATAAATAGTTCATTCTTTTCCTCAAAATTTCAATAATAAATGTTTCTTTTTATTTTATTTTTTATTACTTTTTATGTATTTACTTTTTTTTTAAAATAACATTAATTATGATAAACCTAAAAATATTACAATAAACCTGTTATGTTTAGGTTCATACTTGTAATAATTGATCAGTTTTAAAACAGTATACAACAAAAGCATACAATAACCAACTAAAACAATGGACAATGAAAGGATGGTCTAAAACTAATGGAAATAATTTTTCCTTCAGAAATAATGTTACATTGGCAGAAGAAAAATATACTGTAGATTTAACTTTGCAAATTATTAGTTCTATATTATGCATCAGTTGTCAAAGCAGTAATATATAAGTAATTTACATTTCTACTGACGCAAAGCCCTCCTGAATCACAGGATATATAAGCATAAAATGATTTACTTCTGAACAGACTGGGGCTTCCCAACAGTGGTCCACTAACTTTAACTAGGGGGTACATAGCGAACTTAGAGAAAAATTAATATTTACAAAAATAAACGTAGAATAAATTAATAAAATTAAAACACTAATAACAATTAGTACTGAAAACGATTTTTTTATTTATTTTTAGCAGCGGTCATTGTGTTTTCCACCATGTTTTAGCAATTGAACAAATGCCAGCCTCTTTCTTTTGGATGAGTCATCTAAGTCAAGACTTTTCACAATACTATGTGCGATATGGGAAGCCTTCATGATATAAATGCCTTGCTTCTCCATACAGAAATGAGGTGGTTATCTATCGATTACAGGAATTACGTTCTCAAGTCTTATGTTGATGGACCACAATGTCAAATTGGCCAAAATTTTCCAAGATAAGAAAAGGCAATGTATTTATCAAAGTTTTCCATTTAAAGGAATGAGATGAGTCTGTCTTTTCAAGAAAAGAGTATCACAACTTTCGATGCTCATGACAAAGATAGTCCCTTCAAAAGAAAAAATCTAGTTTTAGGTTTAATCTGTTGAGAAGGAAGAGGTGGAATATCCTGTGTTAAATGATTTTTTTTTTTTTTTTTTTATAAGAAAAACTGGAGCTTGTGGACAGCATATTGATTGATGAAATATGTGAACAACTTCGAAGTTGGAGATATCCTTTGAGCACTACTTCTCAACAGCTTGAGATGCAATGCTGGAAGACCATGAATGGGGGTGGTCAAACCGTTTTCTGTTTTGACTAACCCAACTAGTCTATCCTCAAGTGAATAGAAATTTTGATCGACATTACTTCAGACTTCATCTTGTAATCTACTTTCGAGTCCGATACTTACCCCCATTTTTGACTTCAACAGGAAAACAAAAAATTTCCACTGCTTGTTGAAAAAGTAAAACTTCTTTCATTTGCCACAACTTGCGAATCCGAATTTTCCATCTATACAGCCACATAACTAGATACCGAAGCTGTCTAGATGATGAACCCGACATCCGTCTCCAATTATCAAAAATTACAACTAACATATCCAAATTGTGCAGGCTAAAACAACCTCACTCTTCCCATTAATTCATTAATTAATAATGTTCAAGTTATTACTTCTGAAATTGGTTCGAGTTTTAAATAACTATTGATTCCGTTTTATCTAATTTGACTTTTGTGTTCCGGATTATATATATAAAGTTAAGTATGATAATCAACTGTTTGTTTTCATAGTGATATCACCTAATTAGGAATGGACAGGCTAATTTATAAAACTTTGATTTACTGTATAAGTATCTACTTTTAAATATTTGAATGAAAGGGGCTCTGCCCTGGATTTTGTCCTGTTGAAAGGGGTCTCCACTGGCTAAAAAGTTTGGGAAGCCCAGGCATATACCATCCTCCTTTTTACCTATTACCTATAAAACTGGTCAATATAACCCTATATTCAGAATTAATATTTTATATATGATCTATATATACACTCAAAGAAAAACCAGACACTTGTATTTATTTGTTTATTTTCCATAATAACTAGGTATAAAGATTAATAGTTGATTTAAAGTGTTAAAAGCACGTGGTTTATCTTTATAGAGTGTTACAAATCTTTTTACACTCTTTAGATTAAAAATAAAGCAAATCCATTCAATTTCATCATTTCCAGAACCACCTTGTAGAGTGAGTTAATTAGTTTTTTTAAATTGTTTTCCTTGATGAAATGACGAATAAAACTTAATTATTAATTTTTTTTCTTAAAACTATGGTTTTAAGTCGAAATCACACCTGGGCAGATGCTTTAGTCAACCATGGATGTAGCATCCATTACATAGCCCAAATCCTAGGTCTACCATGCTCTACCATGTACGATGTTCTACAGTGGTTTAGGGCCACCTAAGTCTCGAATGAAGGGAAGGTATTTGTAAATCTGCATCTCGCACGGTCTTGATCAATGAGGCTATTCTTTTCACAGACGAGTGCCAACTTGGTTTGTACTAATCAGATGACCAGGACCATATATGAAGAAGACATGAAGAATGCTTTGCTTCAAGTGCCTTGCTCTCAGCTTTATCAAAGACAGCCAGTTATTAATGAGGTCAAATCAACGTCCATGCCTGTATCAAACTGATTATCACACAGAATGGATCTTTGACTACTCTAAGATACATTGACCAAGTTCTTCTGGCAGCTGTGTTCCCATTCGTTCCATTTATTGGGGACATCTTCCTGTTAATGCACGACTATGCACGACTGCATGTACCTCAAATTATTACCCATTACTTGGAGTTTATGGGGATTAACACAATATATGTGCTGGCACGTTGTGACATGAATCCTATAGAACACTTATGGGAAATATCAAAAAGATGGGAAGACATCATTTGCCACCTCCAACAAGCTTTGAACAGCTTCAAAATGTTCTTGTGTTGGAATGGGTTTCTGTTTCAAAAGAGGAAATCCAGTAGCTTATTTGCTCAAGTTAAGGCCCTCTGCGAGGCCAGAAGAGGTAACGCGTTTTTTGATCATTAATTTTGTCAATCATTTCCAAATATACACTATGAGCAATTTGATGTGACTTTCAAGTGTAATTTCACAAAATATATTTATTGATAAAAAAAATGGAAATATCATGATCATTTCCTTGACCACAGCACTTAAAAAATATAAAAGAAAAAGAAAAAAAGGAACCTTAAAGTAAAAATGATGAAATGACACAATGAGCCTAAAATGTTTCCTCCTCTTATTTAAAATGCAAACTGGTTTATCCTAATATTGCAGATGTAATATAGTGGCATAAATTATTTTACTTATTATATCAATGAGACAAGTTTAATTTTAAGCATTGAAGTGTTTCAGTCAAATAAGGAAATATAAAAAAAATTATTATTAAAAATTGGCGAAATACTACCTTTAAAATAATGTATCCAAATAAAACATTGCTGTCTAATAATACAGTATAGAATAAATATAGTCATACGCCTTGAAGCAAAAAATACAACAAACCAAGAATTAGTTTTGGCCATCTAAGTAAAACTCAGTTCTATAGGCTAACAAGTTGGCAGTTAGTTGGTAGTTTTTATTTAAGAAACAAATAATTTTCGCCACTTTCAGCAACACAATATTTGAACCAGTTAATGATTTAGGTCATTGACATTTAGCAAACATGGGGATAATAAAACTGGTTGAGATGGCTGGTACCGATTCCCTTGTCATAAACTGAACAATGGCTCTTTTCTCCATCTTTTTTGTTGAAACCAGTTTCAACCCAGTAGGTAACCCTCACCAAATGCAAATAAACACTAAAAGTTACTGAGGGGGAAGGGGCAATAACACTGTAAAAATTATATATACCAAACACATACTATATAAAATCATTAGTTAAAACATTCAGTTTTACCTTTCACGTATACAATAAAAATCAAATGTAAAATAATTATTTTAAAACTCAGAAAAGTGAATGCATTACCTGAGATATATCAGTTCTCCCAATTCAGCTGGTAAACTTCTTAACTTGTTACAAGAAAGATCGAGGACACGGAGATTTACCAGCTTGCCAATATCAGGAGGAAGTCTTATCAGAGCATTGTCATTCATATAAAGGCAAGTGAGGTGTGTCCAATCCCATATATTTGCACTTAAATTACGAATATTCCCTAAACAAATAGATAAATTAATAAAAGTTTAAATATAAATAATACATGCTAATTGTACAATACAAAAATATAAAATTATACCTGTTATCTCCATTTCCGTCCATACTGATTTTTTCCCAGACCCAGCTTCCTCCGGTGACATGATGGTATGCTTTCTTCTTGAATTAGCATTTTCCACTTCTTTTTTTTGCATCCGTGACATTGTTGAAACTGTAAAAATAAACAACCATTTGTACGATACCAACAACAGTGTATTATTATTATTAGTATTATTATTTATTATTATTATTTTTTTTTTTAAGGGCCTTATGAACTTGCAAATTAGCCAAGGAATGTGATGATATATATAATAAAGGGCCATGGGTGATGGTGGGAATCGAACCTATGACCACATGGTCTACAAGCCGTCAGCCTATCATACTAATAACTCAGCTACCGCAGTCCCCGAATGTAAATTTCATATTAACAAGCCAATTAGAAGACAAATATGTGACATATTTATGGAAAGTGTTGATATAATAAATAAAATTATATTTTTTCTACAGTACAGAAAACACTCCCAATACAACATAAATAGGAATCAGTTGACTTGAAAATTCCTACATAAAAAAAGTTATATTCCTAAGGAGGTGTCATTAACTTTTAAAACAAACACAATCAGCAAGACAATGGTGCTTGTACATATTATTACTTTTTTATTGAAATTAATTTAAACACTTTTAAATTTAATTACATTGTTGTAAGCCAATACATGATTATTTTAAAGTATTAACAATATTTTTTTAATCAAATATAGAAATTGGTTCAAAAATCATCAATCATCTAATTGCCAATTATTTATTACTATATGAGTCATTATTTACTAGTCAAAGAAAAAAATGTTTTTGTACATAATCAAGGTCATTTGTCATATTGTTAAAAGGGTGAATGTTTGTTTGTTTGTCTGGGAATGAATTAACATTATTTACCTCAGTGAAGTTGATTCAATTGCCTGGACACAACAGTCAAGAATTAAACATTTTAAATGGTAATTTGTACCAGCTCTTTCTCTTAATGTTATGGTAATCAAAGGAAATGAAGAAATTGCAAATTTCACTGGACGCTAGTAATCAGAAATCCCTATTTTATCAAAAAGTATTTAAATAACACTATATCTCTTTTAGTTAATAATGGATAAGACATTAAAAAGTATTTTTCAATTTTCAAAAATCTGATTCAAACTTTCACACAGGTATCCACATTATCATCCTGTATATCTAATTTACTTGGAAATCACCTTAGTTTACCATATGTTTATACTCTTCAGTTAAATTTAAATTACACATATAAAACAATTTTATACCCAGATCGTACCATATCCTGAGTTAGCTACTCTTGAAAGTATACATGACTCTCTAATTTAATATTATAAAATGTAAAATAAGAGAATCCTTTAGGGAAAAATGTATTTCAAAAGCCTTGAATTCTTCCTCTAACATGGCACTCATCAAATGTAAGATATATAAGATAACATTTACATATGGGTTTTTAAAAAACCAAAAAAAAAACACCATCACCTCGAGGGTTGATATGACCTCTACTGTTGTGAACCCCATTAAAAAAATAAATAAATAAATAAATAAAAATTTAAAATAAATTTAAAATGTGTGCCACTTTATGTTTGCTCATCTATATGTCTCTCATCCACCCCGTTATGCAGCTGGGTCATAGGATCCCCCTCGAGCCAGATTCCTAGATATCGCTTCCCAACCAGCAGAGTAGGGCTCGAGAGGCTTTCGACAGTTAGCCATTTCAACAATGGAAATGTAGCCTCAGAAATTATCATTTATAGTACAATCGCTCATATAAATACATTGAACCCATTCTGGTTAGTACTCGATATCCCTCCATTGAACTACACACAATAGTAACAAGCTAATCTAAATTAAGGTTGAAGAACTTTCATAAGTACCAAACACACACATTGAAAGAATAATGGTAACACTATATTTCACCATCACTCACCACTTACACTAATAAATACATGTACTCAGACAAAACACAGAACTACAAAACACAACAGATCTATAAACAATATAAAAAAAAAACACGTCCTCTAAAAAGCGGAACACAGAACCCATGAACTCACCACTGTATGCAAGAACCATTCTTAAATCTAGCAGCATGACTACATGCCCTAAGGAACCAAGGCATGACAAGCTTCTATTATGTGAAACTGAACCTTTCTCTGCATAAGATACTCCCACGTAGATTTTGGCCCAGGAGCTACACATTGCCTAGCCAACGCTTTGATGTTATCCATATGTTAAATCTACCAACATAAAGTCACCATTTGCACAAATGTAAGTGTTAAAATGGCTGAATACTGAACAGTACAATAAGAATAAGATCATTAGGGGCATAATGGCCACAACGGTTAAGGCGATGTCACAGCGACTCATCATTGTAAGGTAAAGGTCCAGGATTTGAATCCAGCATTTCAACCTCATATACACATAGCCTTTTTTTTTCAAAAAACAACGCCACTCTGAGGGTTCAAATAATCTCATAATTGAAATACCCTCATAAAAAAGTAAAAAATAAATAAATAAGACCAACAATTTTATTGGGAGCACTGTCCAAAACATAATAAATTAATATTTGTTTTTATTTGGTCCTAGTTAACTAAAGCGATTATTTAAATTGATTTTTAATTTTTAAATAAATTATGGTTGATAAACAAATGGAATCACTGTAAATTCACTAATTCACTAGATAAGAGTAATAGAAAATTTCTAAAGCATATAATGCTTGGTCTAATATTAGCTTGATGCAAATAAACAATATATTCAGCATTTCTATACAAATATTTGACATTAGATGTCCAAATGCAGTCTTGCATCAAAACAAAGAGTTAGGATAAACTGACCAAGACAGTCAGCCTCAACCTACAAAGAAATGTTTAATAACATGATTAACCAAAAAAAAATTTGGGTGTCATTTTTTGGTAACATTATCTAACCACACAACATGCTGGAAAATAAATGAGTGAGTAGGAAATTCAAATTCGATAAATGCGAATGGTCGAGAATGTGCCACGTCCAATTTCCAGCATTGCCATAACAAAGTTAAAGTCGTGTGAAATCAACTAAACAATCAATATTAGTTATTGTCAAATACATTCAACGGTTCCTTAGAACCAGGAGGTTGAAGAAGCTAAAACACATTTCTACATCCTAAAGAATAAAATGACCAGGAAGACCAACACTAGTGATATGTTCAACCCTCGCACACCAAAATGAATACTGACAATCTCAACGGAAGTGTTTTGACTATCAACAATAGTCCAGATGATATTGGAATCAAAATATAAACAATTAGCCTGAATTATTTTAAATCCAATGAATACAAACAAATGAGAAATACTTTCCAGCAAGTATTCATGGGTATGAAAAATCTCACTGTAAACTTCCAGCCAAATTTGACATCATATATTTGTGGGGGAGAATCGGTTTTGGAAACAAAGTTGGTACCACTGTCCTTTTCATAAAAAAATTGTATTTATTAGAATTATTGTAAGGGGACGTTAGACCTATATAAATATGGTTGTATATGTGAGTTCTATTGGAAATAATCGGGATTATTGGGATATCCTGAACGAACTAAGTGACGTGGTTGTAAATCCTACAAGCTAATGATGAGCTTTAAGCGTGAACTCTGGAACGTTGAAAACAATAAACTGAGATTAGGATCCAACTTTTCTAAAAAGATGAAGTGATTGTCATAGATCAACTACACATCAATATAAAAAAAAGGCGCTAACTTTAACGATTCACATTGGCACCAGTGAATTTTTTTTACAATTTTATAAAATTTAAACTTTTGAAGGAGTATAGAAAAAAATTAAGTTTTTAAGTTTTAGGATGGAAGACGGAGTTGGAAAAACCGGTCGGACCGCCTCAGTTCCCGAGATAATGGAAGAACTTTGTGTAAAGAAGGTCTATCCTCCGGCACGACCATAATAAGAAGGATTAGGCCCGTTGAGCGTTTCGACCGAAGGGCAAACCGCTTTTCCTCCTGTTATAATTCTGCCGGCCGGTGAGCAGCAGGTCCGACGGGACGTCACGGCGTCCAAATAAACGGTCGTTTTCGTCCGGGAGTCGGGCTTACCTTCATCTACTTCCAGGGGTGCGAATTGTTTTTGTATGGAAACGGAGGCGAAGCTCGTCTCTGGCGGCGGGGCGGTCCTTTTTCGTCGGCTTTCGAGCGATCCGGAGTCGTTTGAAGAGCGACGGCGAAAAGCTCGGCCCAGGTAAACAAACTTAAAACTTGAACTCGGTTCTCAAACTGCGATAAATAACCCACTGCCGACTTGCGGACATACACACAGTCAAATCCTGTCCGACGTAGAGCCAGAACGGGTTCGACGTTTGTCGACGCCACCGCCATCTAATAACGCCTAAAACAACTACGACAAACGGGTACTCGCAACACTATTTTCCGGCACGTTGGGTGTGTGTGTGTGTGTGTGTGTGTGTGTGTGTGTGTGTGTGTGTGTGTGTGTGTGTGTGTGTGGTGCGTGTGGCTCTCTTTATCAAACGAAGTCTTTCTAATACACTGATGGACAAACTTAGCGCACCGCCCTTAAATTTTAATTTATGTAGGTTTATTCACAGTTTATTTAAAATAAACGTAATAGAACAGACGTAACAGTGTTTGAACATGTTAGTTCATTGTTTGTATTTTTTGATGTGCAAGGGGAAAAAAGCTATTAATTGTACGCTCTTTAGCCGAATAATTAATTTCTTTAAGAATTTCCACATAATGATTTGAAGCGGCCTCGACATCCCTAACTTAAAACTTCGATTTAAAGATGGGTGGAAATCCATTGCTTTTTTATTACGTTGGTCCCTCAAGGTTAAAATTTCCCTGAGTTGATTTGAAGAAAAGCTTTGGATGTATCATGTCCAAAATTTTTATTCCTTCATCAAGGGTCAGAAAGGTTTTTCCGTTTTGGAAGTGGAGGCATTTTCCGACACAACTTCGACGAGAAACAAACTGAGAAGAAAGAAGGAACAGCATGTTGATGTTGAGAGAAGGCAAAATTTTCTGAGGATCAATTAAAGCCTCCAATCCATTTTTAAAGTATTATTTTCGATTCGAAAATAAAATGGTTTTGTTTCGCTAATAAAAAAAATATATAGAAATACTTCCGCAAATATCAAAACTTTCCTCATTTTTTCATACGTGAATAATGAACACTGCAAATGTCAAAACAGCGAGTGTTAAGGGATTACTGTAATTATAATTTGTTGAAGTCGTGAGGAGTGGTCAAGAAAGAGGTAGTTTAGAAAAACACCTTTTTAATTTTTTTTGCCGACGTTTCAACCACTATTCGGGTCATCTACAGGGCATAAAGTGTGGTGCTTTTCTTAAGGTGTCATATCGGTTTTATGTGAAAATGGCACAAGAATAGCAGAACAACTTTATGCCGTGAAGATGACCTGCTTAGTCAAAAAAATTAAACAGGTGTTTTTCAAACTCTCTAATCTCATTCTTGACCGCTCCTCCCGACTTCAATAAATTATGAAAACAGCAAATCACTATTACACAGTGTTGGGTGTTACACCCAATTAATTATTCTTTTTATATAGGTTTTTTTGGTAGAGATGAAAAATTAGTGTCACGAACGGGATTCCAACCCTCGGGATGGGTTCAAATCTGGACTTCGAGCTATTCGAACCAAGCATTCAATTCCAAACTTATTCAGGTAGTCTTCAACATAGGTGCTTTATGAGGCCTAGCGTTATCCAGCATTAGCAAGAATCTCTCACCGATGTGAGAGGCAAATGGGACTACATGTCCTTCGATTAATCTGATATAGGGGTGGGATATTTTTTTTGTAGTATTATAAATATATAACACGTTATAATATTTATTAGGCACTAGTTTCATACAATTATCTTTCTAGCTCCAACTGACGAGAAGTGACCCAATTGTGTTACTTTCTTTCTAGAGAGATTACTAGAAGAGATTACGTATATTCTTGTATATAATAATTCTACAATGCAAAAAAGTTAAATAAAATGTAATTGTAGTACTTGTATTAGCCCGAGTTAGAGAGAGACCTGGTTGTGCTTTATTCATTTATCTATTCCATAGTGATTTACCCCAAGTACCGATTAGCTGTTTAGTTTTTTCTCGGGGATTCGCACAAAAAGAGAACATGTCAACCCCTGTGGTGCCGGTGTTTGAAAAAAGCCCATATGTTAGTGTGGCGGGTTCGAACACAGGGCCTCTGGATTCAAACCCGGGACCTTTACCTTACAGTGATGAGTGCCGTGTCAACGCCTAAAGTACCATTCATATATATTTGCATATATTATCTATATGAGTATTTGCTTTTACAGGAATTGAACGGAACGTGTTCGTGCAGAAACCCGCCCGCAATGGCTAGTATTATTATATTTAAACTGTGCTTGTACATGTCTGTAACATTGGCACGCTGAGTGTGAATCAGTTTTTCTAAGCTGGTGCATGTCTGTGGCGTCAGTGACTATTTTTCATTTTGAAATTTTCATATTGAATCCACGAACGACGAAAAACATTACAAAAAACCAGTAATAGAAAGAGTTTAAAATATCCCATTACGATGCAATCCATTATTTTTAAAAAAATCAATTGACGCGTGGCAGAATAAATACATATCTTCAAGCACTGGAAAATGGTATAATTCTATCTTCCCTAAGGTCAGTAGCCAGCCTTGGTTCACCAGAGACAAAAACGTCTGAAAAGTATAGCCACCACTGAAGAAGGCGAAATGCCGCCTGGCAAGCAAACCATGTAAATATATGCAATTGAGAGATGATAAAATTGCAAAACTGACAAGGCTGTTTATTTAAATGATTGATGGATGTCATTCAACTCAACTTTATATATGTAGTACATGTACAAGTTTAATTTGAATAAATGTATTTTTCACGGTATATTAACGTTATTATTAAAAATCAGCTGATAAAAATTCTGTGGCTTTGCTAGGAAACTTATGCCAAGTCGGCCTAAGAGAGGTAGAACATGGGGAAATACATTCACAGAATGACAGATAAAGAATTAGAAGTCTTCTTCTGAATTCAAGAATAAAAATTATTTTCTACACTTTTTTTTATCCTTTATTAAATAGGAAAAAGATGAAGAGAAATTTTAAATTTGTCCACCCCGACTATTATTAGATCTAAGCTGTCCAAGAATGCACGTAATCTATAAAAGAAAAATAGTACTTACGCGCCCACCTACCGCATTCTTTGTCCTTAGATCCCACTTTCGCCCCAGTGTTTCTCTCCAATTTGCATTCATAGTTCTTTATGAAATCCTTAAAGTACATTTTCTGGTGTTTCGGCCTGCATCGAACCATATCGGACTCGCCCAACTTGGTACCGGCGTTGAACGCGCGTTTGACGACGGCAGCATTTTTTGCGGGGCCAAGGAGGATGTGCCCCCGAGGACCACGGAGCCTTAACCGATTACTCTCAATAATTTTGACTCGGAAAAGTAACCGCGAAAGAATTAAAAACGGAAACCTTCTTCAATTAATTCGCCTCTTCTTGACTGTTTGTCTTTAGATGAGATCGAACTCGCTTTCTGCCCCTTCGCGCATATCTTCTTTCGTTATAATATCCATATTTTTTTTAAATATTTGTTTGTGGGTGAGGGGGAGACTATAACAATCTATTTAACAATTGTTTTGATATTTTAACCATTTAGCAGCTTTTTACATATTGCAACACTTATCATATTGTCGAGTTAAAAGGCTACACGAGCAAGGTATTTTCCACATAGTTTAATAATTTTCTCTCTTTAAAAAATAAAAATTCTTCATTTCTCGTTTAAATATTTCCATTTTTAAATTTTAAAGTTAAATTTGAAAGACATGCTTGATTTAAACAAATCGCACGCACCGGTGGGATTTTGTAAGGGGGCCAAAGCCAATTTTTGACGGGAAATTTCTTTGTTACCGCTGCTTCATTTCTATTTTTAAAAATCCGTTTAATGTGTGCTATGAATTAATTATTTACTATAAAAAACAAACAAATACAAAAATAAGTTTAAAAAATTGGGAAAAAACAATCCTTTTGGAACTTAAAATCTAGGTTTTTCCAAATTTCTCTAGTTTATTTGCTGAATATTTTGAAAATCAGGAAATAGACGTAATGTTAGAAAAAAATTAAAATGCACTAGCAGTAAATGAACTAATGCGGAAATAAACGATCCCAAAAAGCCTGTATCTTCTCATAGCCCTTATTTATATTTTATTTATTTTTTAGTATTTTTCCAGAAATAGAAGAAAGACGATTGAAAAATTAGCTAGAAAAAGTAGGTCAATTTAAGCACTATTACTTATTTACACAAGTTTGTTGCTAGATGGTCTCCATTAACATGTCTACATCTGTGTTGAAAAAAAATTGTCCAATAGTGAAATGATAAAAAATATAGTTTGCAACAATAGTGGTAAACGTGAAAAATGGGTGCCTTTGCTTAAGTGCAGACGAACAACGAAAACAGGCAGATCAGAGATGATAAATCTCTCCTAGATTTTAATTTCTTGAAGAAGTGAGACTGTCAAATAATGAGATTAAGCCCAGGGAGAGAGAGAGAGAGAGAGAGAGAGAGAGAGAGAGAGAGAGAGAGAGAGTGTGAGTGAGTGAGTGAGGGAGAACACACTTCCTCGTCAAGCAAATTACATAGTCTTGCAATTTATAATGCCCATAGTCGTTTATAATATTTATATACATAATTTATCTCTTTTACATGAAATATGTATGATTCATCTAATGTTCTACTTATGTAGGTTCTCATTTCTTTTTTATTTAATTGGCCCATATCAGGATATCTATTTAGCCTTTAATATTTTGTTTTATTTTTTAAATATTCAACAAAATATACGAATAATAAATTACAAGTCTTAAAAGATTATAATGACAGCATTCGGTAACATAATTTTATAAATGCACACATTACTTACTCAAGCAATTTACTGTTGAAGACAAAATATACAATTTATGTTTAGCAGTGAGATATTTTGAGGTCTTCAGGGTCATGAATCTATACTGCCCAGTTCATAGTTGGTTTGGTCATTCAAGCTTGAACAACATTGACAACACCGAAAATAGAAAATTGCTGACAAACGTCTGTCAGACTAACCCAGTAAAAATATGCATAAATGATGGAGAAGTGAATTTACGTTTATGTACAAACTCCATACCAATAGCAAGCCAAATTAAAAAGAAATTCTTACTTTTGTCTTTGCTATCTTATATGGAAAACCCTTTTAATGATTTTGTAAACATTCTTGAAGTGATTTTCACTTCCAATCTGTGTTGGCTTAACCACCATCAATTATATCAGTACAAAGGTTAATTTGACTCTATTTATGCTAATTATTAATTACTGGAGATTTTTTTAATTTTTATTATTTTTTAGTTCATTAATTTTTTTAGCATAGACTGATGGACAAAATTAATGCACCAGCCTTAAATTGTACTGTATTTATGTTTATTCATATGTTGCATACCAAAAATAGGTTTGCTTGTAAAAATAAGATATTTAAATTTAAAAAGTTTATTGTCTAATTCTGAAAGAACAATTATTATGTAAAGAACAAAAAATAGAAAATTCAACAACAAACAATATTTAAGATTTTTTGCCCCTTTAATATTTAGTTAGAATCATGTTCATTAAACGCATATGCATTTTAATGCATGCTTGAAAAATATTTCTGACAAAATCCTGAGGAATTCTTTCCCATTCATCAAGAACAGCCATTTCCAACTCTTCTGGGGTTTTGGGTTTTGCCATCATACTTGTCACTTAAGTTGGTCCCAAATGTGATCGATTAGGTTTGAATGTGGACTTTGAGCTGGCCTCGTCAAGCAGTCAATTCCAACCTCTTTCAGGTAGTCATCCACAACATGTGCTTTATGGGGCCTGGCATTATTCTGCATTAGCAATAATCTCTCACCGATGTAGGGGGCAAATGGCATTACATGTAAAGCTAGAGATCTTCCAACAACACCAATTCGGTGTGGTCATACAAAGGAAATGCCACCACAGATCATCAATGACCCACCATGGAATACCACCTGAGGAACCATACAGTATGGGGCATACCTTTCTCCTGAGTGTCTTCATAATTACACCCATCTGAAGATTTGAGACCAATTCTCACCTCATCTGTAGAGAACTCGTCCTCATTCTTCCAATGTCCAATTCACATGTTCCCGTGCAAATTGAAACCTGGCCATTTTCTTAGCTGTGGTAAGAGGTCCACGAGGGGTGTACCAGGCCTGTAGGTTATTTTCATTTATTCTTCTTGTTACAATCCAGAAGGAAATCAAAAAATTTTAAACTTGTCATCAGATTTCCTCTCATTTCCAGTAATGCTTCAGTTTTGTAGATCAAAATGATGGATGAATCTATCGTCTCTCTTGTCTGTAGACGTAGGTCGACCCTGTCCTGGCCTTCTAGTGTAAAGCCTTTTTCTTTCCTATTGTAGAGTTCCTAAGAAGTATCCTTCCTACTGTAGAGTGACTTTCACTCAGTCTCTTGGCGCCTTCGCACTGGCTTCCCTTCCTCTAATCATACTCACTCAAATGCCTGACTGGAACCATTGAAAGAGGTTTATGAATAACAATAATATCAAATGAAATCAACAAAGGTAAAAGATTAAAATCTTTAGGTGTAGCAGAATAGAAGGGCATAATGCTACTTTTTGAGCAAATTGGATTAATCAGTACAAAAAATGAAATAAACAAATCATTATTTATTGTTTACTTTGACTACGATAGTTCCTAATTAGCTGTAACTAATGTAGAAATGTAATGGATTTAATTTTAAATTAACTAAATTGAATGGTGCACTAAATTTGTTCATCAGTGTATTTATGTTATCTTCTAAATATCATTACATTTTATTTTGTAATAAAATAATAAAATCTTGATCAATTTTCATGATCTTTTTTTAATTTTTTATTGTCTGTGTTTATACCCTGTACTTAATAATAAAACAACTATATATAAAAACATATAATTTTTATGAATCCATTTTGTTAATTGATGATTAGCAGAGATCAATATTAGAACAAATATTGATCTTTTTAAATTTAATTTTTTAAATATTTTTGGCCTTTTATGAAGCAAGAGAAAATAAAACAAACTAGAAGATTATTTTTATTGGTAAACTGTATTTACATGGTAACACAATAACAAAACTGTCAAAAAATATATGTATTAGTTTCAGCTTGTGTCAATAAGGTACAAATTTATTTGGAATGCTATGAGCATATCCTTTATCGAAACAATCACAGAACTTTAGAGCCAAGAATGCCCCGGCAGACAAGACAATTAATGTGGCAAAAAAAAGCACTATTGTTGTTAAGATGCTTTTTGAAAATGAACAATCTATTAATTGTGGTGGTACTGCTCTTGTTGACTGTTCAATCTGTTGTTCAATTCTAAACGGTGGAATGATAGACATTGTTGTTCTGCGTTTTAATTCATTATTGCTTTTGTTGCTTAAGGAAGCACCCAGTTTCAAAGATGCTTCACTTAGTACTTTGACATTAAATGGAAGATCTTCTTTTTTTTCGGGTGGTTGGTCTGTTTGGTTCTTCTCATCACTCTTGCCTGGTAATTCTGGCTGATTATTTTTATTTTTTTCTTCCCGGGGCTCTATATTATTAGCTGTTTAGACAAATGTATAATTGTTATTTACACTAAGAGCAGAAACAATGGTGAAAATAAACTTACGAACAAATTCATCATTGATTTCATTGTTTTCATAAATGAACGCTTTCCCAAGAAACATATTTCTAAAACAATTCAAAATGATTTAATTTCAATATATTTATGCACTATACTGAATTTGATTGTTTCCAATATTAAAATATTATATTTGCACACCATTTTTAAAAACTTTAATTACTAAATAATTTCATAATTAAATTCTTTGGAATTTGATGGGGATTGTTCAGGAGTGAGGTGGAGAACAAACCAAAACAATTCACTTCATATCCTGATATTTCACCCTATTATATTAACTTTTCGACAGATATGAAAAACACAATTAGAAGATTAGTTCAAATTTTTAAACTAAAACTAGTCTTCTACCTGTGGTTTTTCTTTGAAGAAGAGTCAATATAGACTTGCAAAGTTAGGATATAAATTGAATTGTTTTGGTTTTCATCTCCACCTCACTCTGATCTATCCCGGTCAAACTTCAAAAGAATTATAAACTCACGGTCATCCTCAACATAGTTCACCATTAAATACTACAGTTATGAGAAAAACAAGTAATCCGTGATTATTGTACTTCACAATCATTGGTGTATTTTATTATAGAACATTTTGCTTATAATTGGTAAATCATGCATTTCTACTTTTGAATATTTGAATGCAGTTGGTTAGTCCATTATTCCTTAGATTATTAAACTAAATTCTTGTCCCTGTCTCCAGTAACACAAATTCAGTTGTTTTTTCTTTTCACACAAATTGTTATTGTCCAAAATAAGCTGAATATTTTTTTTAAAGCTTACATTCAATAGCTGGGACAACAAAATCCTATGGAAAAAATAATATCAATTTAAGATTACAATTTTTATATATTTTTCCTCCTCACACAAAACTATAAATAAATGATCAAATTTATAAGACAACATTTGAAAATAAATTATTTGTTTTATCTCTTGTAATAATTACAGGATTTTTGTAGTAAAATTGTACTATGTGTTTATTGATGAATCAATGTTTCAACAGTACAGTGTTTTCATATCAATAAGGGATTCTAATTTGATCAATACACCAACACCTTATGGGAAAATGATAGCAAAGCTGTTGTCTAGAAAACGAAACGACAAACAGGATGCCCCATAGAATGAAAGCGAGTAGTAATGCGGCTTTTAGAAATTTCAGTATGGGTTTCCCTTGGGGTTGCTGTTGAAAGAGTTGTGGTGGACTTGGTTCTTGCTGATGTTGAGTATCTTTGACACTTTTGACTAAATGTTGTCTAGCAGGACTAATAATTGGATCTTCGCCGCATTCAATCACTCCTGTTACTTGTGATTCACTCTTGCTTATTATTTTTGATGATTGCAGGCTTTTGGTTGTATTTACATTGCTTTGTCTAAAAGACTGGCTTGATTTTGTATAACCTGTTGTTAGTTTTTTACCTAAAACATTTGCATTTGTTTCTTGTTTGTTTTTTTCTATAGGAATGCAATACTATGTTTAACTTGTTATTACTTGACAAACTTACACTTTATTTTCAGGCTCTCAGAAGTTTCAAATTCTTGACTGCTTCTAAAAATTACATGACATTCAGTAATAAACAATATTTGTGCTTGTTTGATAAATTTCAATTCAATTTGCAAATTTTTTTTAAATGTTGTTTCTTTCACATATAATTAATCTACATTTAGCTGTGCCCATATTTCCAAACAATAATAAATTGTGAATATATTAAGAGGAAAGATTTGTTACTTTTCTATCCTGATCTCTCTGAAGATGGTGATAAGGTGAAATATTTAATATCAAATATCTGACTGAAAATAAGGTGATTATGAATGATCAAATTTTTGAGAAATATGCTCTAATTGTTAAAAATTATTTTAATTGAAGTTAAAAATTCATCTTTCAAGATTTATCAAATGGCCCTTTTTAACCTGAATAAAATGACACTGAATATATACATAAGCAACATTATACCAATTAAATTGATAAGCCAAGTAAAAATGGACATGTAAAAATTACCAATAGAAACAAAATTGTATTTTGGTGGTAAAAAATGTTGAGTTTGTAGTAAATATTTAAAATATCACACATATAATAATGTAAGCCATTCAGCTATATTGATGTAGGCAGTACCTATGCTCTTTGCTTTTTGTCGATATATAACAATTTTTCAACTACCAAATACTTACTCATTGACACTCTTCTTTAATCTTGATATCTGGTTGAGAACCAATTTGATGAAGGTGCATTTTATGTTTTTTATGCTTTCCTTGGCAGCATCAGAGTCAAATACTATTGTCTCATCATTTTCATCGTCCCATTCCGAATTGGGGTTCATGTTCTGTTATTTTTTTCCCAATTTTCATCGCTTAATTTGATCTGGTGTATCATGAAGCAATCCATTCAATTGCTTTGACTCGCACTTCATTCATACATTTTAATCATCATATTCATATCCTGAAATTCAGTCTATTTGCGAGTTATTACCACTATCGTCTGAAAGCCGGAATAGGTTTGTTGGATTTTTCTCTTGTATAACAATGTAAAGAACTAATATATTTTTTATTGAGGATGCTTTTATTTTACATATGAATGTTGCTATGTTAAATTTTGATTTCCATATGAGATTAATTGTACTCAACATGCTGTTGAAAATATGATTTTGTAGTCAAAATTTTCAACAATTTTCTTAATTTCATAGTGATGTTACATAAAACCAAGTCTTAAAAATAATATTAATTTTTAACTCTAATAAAATTATTACTAATAAGTTTTTCCCTATATTAAACTTAAGTTTGTTTTGAGCTCACACAAGCTTTGCTTTGGAAATTAAACACTTGTAGGCAAAAAAAAACTGAAGAAATAGAGGTTGAGCAGTCAATAAAAATTCCTGCCACAGGGTAAAATTATTATACCCCCCCTAAAAAAAAAAGTTTTTGCTGGACTTAATTAGTAATGTCAGGAATATGCCATATCAGAGTATGCCAGGATAATAAGAGTGTGTAATCACATCAAGCGGTGGTAACACACTGTTAAACATTTTTTATGTCGCAATGAAATGTTTCAAATATTTCTTGAAATATTTGAAATTTTCTTGTCTTTGTCTTTCCACAATTCACAAATAAGAGAAAGAAAAGTCCTTATATTTTTATCTACTATTTGACTGTCTTCCAAATCATCATGTACTATAACAATGTTTTTGATTTATATATGTGAAAAAGTGTTTCATTTTTCTTCGATCAAGAGGATTTTATAATTTATAATAAATTTAAAAAAATGCTTGTAATATTTAAAAAAATAAACTAAAATAAAACAAAAAGGAAGGAACATAAATATTATCAAAATACAAAACTTTGTTTTTGAAATTGATTACTACCAAAACCATTAAATTTAACCTTTAATTATATAAAAAGCATGTATATTATAAGAAATGTAATAAAAATATATAATTTGGCCATTATCATTCATTTAAGTGTGTGTATCTTTGCTGGTTTGGTCTATCAGGTGCATTTCAGTATTTCGCCATTTTAATAAAAACACATGAATATACAACATTTCTGTGATAAAGATATCGCTTTATGAATTAAAACAAGAAAATTCAGTATAGTAACCTGTTAAAACATACTTACAAAGTTACAAATGATTTTAACTTAAAAATAACAATAATAATAATAAATATTTACAAAATATATATTTCAAAAGAATGATTACAAAATATCTTTGAAATTATGTTTGAATTAAATATTAAGTAACTTTTTATATGATTCTAAAATTGTTTATTTTATAAAAGTTTTTCTAATCAAAAAAGCATTTGATATCTGTTAATATAAGATGATGAACATTTTTAAAGAAATAATTTACTTATTCTTTAGCTGTTTTTACGTTTTCACAAGGTTTCAAGTCCATTTCTTTATCCCTGATTTCTTCAATGATGATATCTGTTGCCGGTACCGGTTCCAGACCAACAAAAGTTGTATCCAGGCCACAGGATTTCAAAGCCTCGAATATAGCGGCATCGATTTTGTCAAACTGTGTCGAAATATCTTCCACATTGTGAAGACCTGCTGAATCGTCCATTATCCAAACAAAAATAAAATTTTGTTGAACACAAATGAATATTCCTGGCAATTATTGCTGAACTAACAATTTTCAAGTTTAGCCCAATGTAGATGCATTCCATTTAATATCTGACCTGACCTACCGAACTCTGTTGAATGATAATATTAGTTTGAATTTATTTTAATTTTAATTTTATTTTTATTTTTTAACCTTTCAGTTAATACTTACAATTTTATTGTAAGGTCTGTGTTAATTTTCATTGTTTTTAGTAAATGAACTTCTATATTTTATAAGTAATTAACTAAACAAATAGATCAAGATTGGAATGCAGATGTATATTTTTTCAATTAATAATCTTATCTCTTTATTATCACGTTCTTCTGTTTGTGTTACATAATTTTTTCTCAAAGTCATGAAATAAATTCAAACGTGTGACAACATTATGCTTATATTTTATGCACTTTTGATTGTTTTCCTTTGTTGGTCATTCGATATAGCAAGCTATATCATCAATACATTTTACATGATGAAACTGCCAGGACCTTCGATGTATCCAACTATTGGCTGGACTTTTAAATTTACTTTATCGAAACTTAAGTTTGTTGGTCTTACGGTGATACACCCAAGTGAGGGCCAGTTGATTATGATTCTGCTCTTGCAAATTGTAGATATTCCCCAAATCTTTGTGAACTTTACTTGTCACAAAATCAAATCTGTAAACATAAATGCTGGATAGCAGGGTGTCCAATTGTTGCCTTAACAAGCCTTAATAACAGAGGAAGACATGGAACTATGTATTCCGTTATTTATTTTTACTATTATTTATGGAATTATATTTATCTTGTTTGACATTAGATGTTACTGGGGGTCCAACTAAGTTAACAAAAGGTGTACAGTATACTGCTCTCGAGCTCAATTCAGGACTTCTTTCAGGATAACAACTGGCATGTTATCAACTTAATTTTCATATAGCAATTAACAATTTTCTTTAAAGGATATTCAAATTTTGTTTTTGTTTTCTCGAAGAAAAATGGCATCAAAGAAGGAAGTTGCTATCGGGTGCTTTTCATATCAATTTTAAAGATATTTTCCCCATAATGAATAACTGTGCGAATGTTCCTGCACAAAAATTAAGCACACAGGTGGAAAAAGACATTTTGGTAAAAAACTAAAGTAATTTTTGTTTATAATTATCTTTTCATCATTTACTGAGATATGCTTTAAAAGCAATTAAAATTATATAATATAAAATTAAACCCTTAATGACTAAAATTAAACCCTCAAGATAATCAAATGGTACGGATTTGTTGCAAAAGATATTGAAGAGTAAGTTGTTTAACAATAAATTTATCTTGTCAATTTAAATGTCATCTTGTTTTTATGTTTATTTATTTTATTAGTTTATTTTATTTTAATTTTTTTTTTTTAAGTGACCGGTTGTTTAATAATTTGTTGGAGTCGTGAGTAGTGGTAAAGAATGAGGTAGTTTAGAAAAACACCTTTTTCATTTTTTTTTTGAGGTTTTGACCTTTATTCGGGTCATCTTCAGAGATAAAAGTGTGGTGCTATTCTTATGGTGTCATATTGCTTATGAACTACACTTTATACCCTGAAGATGACCCAAATAAAGGTCAAAACATCAGAAAAAAAGTGAAAAAGGTATTTTTAAAACTCAGCAAATGTTTGCAGTTATTCTCACACAGTCATACTTTCCAGTGTAATGTAAAAACAGACATTTCAAATTATTACTATTTTATTGATAATTATTATTATCAATATTTATTTATCATGATTATCAATAGTTATTTATTATGATTAGTAATTAAAATTTTATATTACACTTAATTATGTATTACTAAAATACAAATAAAATGCATATATTTACAATACTATTATTAACATAGTGGAATATTTTATTTTTACAGTAATGCTTTTATTGTATAAATAAAAAAGAATTTGTACAAAAATTTCAAAAAAATTATGCATTAATTTTTCCCAACTTTCTTGGAGTAAAATGCATTATTATTGGTTTATGGGCTCTGACAATGAGCAAAGGGGAAAATTTTGTATTTTCAAAAGTGCTGTGCGAATGAAAGTAGTTGTATCTGATTGCCGTCGAGAGGACCACTTTCATCTCCATCATGGCAAACTTTTGACCTTAATCAGACATAATACAATGAATGACAATTGACTGAGACTTTACACAATTATTACCTATGCAATTTCTAGGGCCTGCACTGAACGGGATGTAGGCAAATGGGTGACGCTTTCTGACATTCTCCTCATTAAATCTGTCAGGATCAAATTTGGTAGCATTGTGATAGATATGTTCTGCAAAATGCACAGCTAAGGGACATATCAAAATGTTTGTAGACCGTGGAACCAAAAAACCCTTGGCTAAGGAATAAAAAAAATCATTTGCTAGCTTTATTAATTAAAATAAATCAATAAAAACTTACTTGTTATATAATCTTGTGTTAAAATTCTTGTAAATATTGGTACACTAGGTAAAAACCTAAGAGTCTCTTTGATAACATTTTCGAGATAATGCATTTTTTGAAGATCACTATATGTTACATCTCTATCTGAATCACCAAAAATCTCTTCCATTTCTAAGGAAAGCCTTTCCTACATGAACAATTAAATAGTACTATTATACATTATAATCAATTTTCTGAATTGTTCTTAATACCTGAACTTCAGGATTGGAACCCACAAACATCATAGCATGAACAATTGCTGCAGAAGTTGTGTCATGGCCCTGTGAATACAATCGGTTTAAACAATTTCCGCAGATGAGTTTTTGCTCTTTAGAATTTCACCTCAAATAAAAATGTGTCGACCTCTTCTCTCATGTCTTCCTCTGTGAATATGCCAGGATTATTTATTTCTAGCTCAATTAGGCAGTCCAAAAATGCCTTCCTCTTCTTGACTAAAGAAATGTTTGCAAACAAATTATTTCAGTAAAATCTGACCAACATTTAAAGAACGTTGTGCAATTTATTGAGATATATATGTATTTAATATTGAAACATTATTTAGTATATTTTATATTTTTTAAAGATTTGCATTATCAATTGTCAATCAATTAATACTCATAGTAAAATGTGTAAATGTTGGGAGGGGAACTTAATTGAACCCCCCCCCCTTAAAAAAAGCTTACAGGATAATCAAACTGTTTTTAACTCACGTTGATGTGCACTCAGTCCTGAAGTAATTTCTTTCTCGTGTATTTCTTTTCTTTCAGTTATCACCTATGAAATAATTACATATATGTATGTATTACAAGAATTATAATTCAAACAAGCATTTCCAGTGTGTTTTACATTCTGGGTGAATGTGTGGAGCCGTTGTAGGACTTTTTTAAATCTGAAACCAGTTGGTGTCAAGTAAAATGTGAAATCCTTGTAGAGCCAGAAACAAAGAATCCTTTTCATTATTATTTCACTGATTCTTAAAAAGAGATAAAAAGTGAACAGCAAAATTTTAAAAAACCCATCTGGTAACTTATCATTTTTTAAAACTCACTCTGCAATATCACTGACATACTGAGATGATTTGTTATGCTGAGCTTCTAAATTTACACCCATTGCACTCTCTAAAAAATATACTAAATTAACATTTTTTTAACTTGCAAAAAAATATAAATTATATTTGCATATTTGATATTCTATGAACTTGATATATCTTGGTGAGTCATATTAATTATTTCAATGTTTTCAATAAAAATTCAGTGCTCACCGCTTACGATGTCAAGTGTGCACAGGTTTACCAATTTTGCTATTTGTGTCTTTTCGCCGTTGAGCTCAAGCAACTTCTTTGCAAATATCTTTGCCCCTTTGTTCATGGTCAGTAAAGAATCTTCAAGTATTTTAAAGTGAAACGTCGGTGTCAAGGTTTTTCTCCTGCTGTGCCATTTTTCACCTGTTACTTTCAAATGTCAATCCACTGTTGAGGAAATTCAACAAAAAGTAGTTACCTGAACTCGTCAGCAGGCCTTCATTGAGCCAAGTCTTCACATGGTTGTAATGTGTCCCTTTTGTAATGTATTGCATACTTCCAAGTAATTTCTAAAAGTTAAATATTAATTTTTTTTAAAATGTGTGGATAAGTTATAAATTTTCTTACTTCCAAGTCTTCAGGATCAAGCAGGATAACAACAGGTGTGCCAGCAATCCAACATTTAGCAACATGATATTTATTACCTATGTACGAGACTAAGAAATTGATAAGATCTAAAAAAAAATTAATATTAAATTAATATTAAATATTAATTTGTTATGTTCAATTATTATTATCGAAAATGGTGCAAACTTTCTTTTACATTACATACATAACATTTGTGCTACTTTTTATATGCTTGTATATATTTTTTTACTAAATACCTTCAATTTTCATAAATGCCAATTTGAATGTCCATCCAATGATTGGTAACATTGGAGGCCCTGGAAGCTTATTTAAATAGTACGCATTCCTAATGTAATCAACGATATCCAATTTTATACATAAGATTATAATTAACAGCACAGCTTCAGCTAACAGAACAATCAGATTCATTTTGAACTCGCTGGTGGTAAGGCAAATCTCTTCTGTTGAAAATAAAATATTTTCAATATGATTATAAAGTCTGATATGTCGATTGTGAATCTGAAGATAAGATGTATTTACGTTCATCCTATGCCAATACTAAATATAAATATGGCTTTGTTGCCAATAGTTTGAATTATTATCTTTTCAACATCTACTTTTTTTTTTTTTTTTAACTTTTTTTCATGTAAAGAATCGAACCTATGACCCCTCCTTGCAAGCCATGAAAATCTCCTACTTCGGTGTCTCTGCAGTCTCTCTGTCCCCCATTTAAAGTTAGGCTCCAAGGTCTATCAATAGTAAAGGTCATCGCATAATGCACCTAGATACATTCACTCATTCTTAAATAATTATTTCTTCTTTAATTACCATTCACTCAATTAGGGTAGTGGAGTACTCAATATTTCTCCATTACCCTTCACACCTATTATATAACTAATCTGAGTGCCGATGGGGCACTCAAGATTCCGCCATCAGCCCTTTCACACTACTCATTCATGCTAATAAATACAATCTCGCGAACACTTACACAACTTATGCATATTATTCCAATAACTATAATTAGTAGAGCAATGTTGTTTCTTCCATTTTTTAAAGATAATTTGATCTGAGAATTACATTAAAATTATATATGTAAATGTTTGATTAATTTTTTTACGCATTTGTTCTTAATTAATCTTTATCTGATACATTTAGATCAATATAAAATTATAATTTGATTATCTGTTTTTTTTGATAATTTGTGGACCCCCCCTCCCTGCGATTACACAGATAATGGAAGTTTTACTGTATTATTTTCCTATTTCCTAGGATCAATAATTAATGAAATGCTTTATGCATCTCTTTAAATCCTGTTCCCTTGAGGTAAACAAGTCTAAGTAAAAATCACTTTTTAGGAGTCAGGATTTCAGAATTTGGTTTCTAAAGACCTTTGGATCAAATTCAATTTTTTCAAGTCTTTTTTGTATTGAGTCCATATTTCGTTAAATTCAATATGGATGTCATAGTAAAGAAGGATTTTTAATTTATTTAATTATATCTTGGCTTTTTGGTCCTCATCGATCTAAACACCAATATGTATCTAACTTTTAACATACAGCATTTAGCTATTATCGTACTTCCACTTATGCAGTTATATTCACCAGATGGATAAAATGGGAGAAGTTAAGTTGTACTGAAAACCACTAAATTTTGCAGATAATAAACTAAGAGAACTGCACTAATTCACTTATTACCAACAAAATGAAGGCTCATACAAGTAGGTAAAAAACTGTACTGCATTCAAAACTCTGACCAGCTTTCTCTTCAGCACCATGTAGGAGATTGGTTACTGGCTGTAACAATTGTGTTCTTATTTTTAGTTTACAGAAGGTGAGTAAGTTCGATGGCTCTACTTACTTGTCCTGAGTAAGTTATCCATGGTTATCTGAGAATTATTGTGTTACTAATTATTTATTAATTATAAACGTTGTAATTACTTGTAGAGCCCTGATAAAGACCTCAATAAAGGTTGAAAGCTTGGCATAAGTTACAAAGCTTACTTGTTTTGATGACTGCATCCCTGATCTAGAACTTACTAGTGATATGTCAATTTATCCTTCTTTGGTTTCATAAAAGATTGCTTAAAATGACACCTTTATTTTTAAGCTAATTATTTTTCCCAAAATAATATTCACACTGTGACAAACAACACAAACAAGCTGACCGGGATGATCACCAGCAACAAATAGTAGTCACCAGAATGTGGTATCATTAATTATAAAGAAAAATACTTTAATTAATTATAAAACTTTGGCATCACATTTATTAATTTTCTTCAAATATACACACAAATGAATGACACAAATTTATTTGTACAATGGAAAAAATATGTTATTTACATTCGTTGATTTATTTTTCAATTTGAGCAGAATCTTTAGAATGTATGAAATCTTAATACAATTTATGTTTTGAATACAGAATTAAGAATAATTTTTTAAATAATATTTTTGAGAACTTTAAAGAAATATGTTAATATCATTAGCACTATTGCTTTATTAATTAAATCCCTTAATGTATATTTACAACATAAAATACATTTTAAACATAAAACGAAGGCACTTTTATTAACATAGCACACACAAAAGAAAATTCATATTAGGCTTCACACTCTTTTTATAGTTTGTGTTTAACACTCAATGTCTGGCAGTGTTGCAGTTTTGCATCTTAGTCATAGTTCAGTTGTTTCAAGTTTCTTTGAAATGAGAGTGTTGCCGAGCTTGTCAATGTGGTGGTAGAGATTTCTCTGGTAGGTGTTACCACCGTTTCTATTCAGATCATTCTGCTCCTTCACAGTAACGCTCACAGGGCATTCACTTCTAAGCATATTTGATTGACTGAAATAAAAACAGAACAATGTTTATCTATTGTATAGTGTCAAATCTGCTGTTGCATGCAAATAAAAACAAAAAAGTGATAGTTTTTCAAGTCCGTCCTGTCTTTGCTAAAATGTTGGTCTTTGCACTAAAATGTCTTGTACATAAATGTGATAATATTAGTAAAAATTGGGGGATCAGTGGTCACAACATTAATATGTTAATACTGTGCTAATCACTGTAATGTAATGGCCTCAGGTTCTAATCCAACAGCCCGGCATTTGAACACAACATACAAATGGTATTTTTATTTTATTTTATTTTTTTTTTTACAAAAACACCGGGACCCCAGGGGTTGATATAACATCTGCTGTTGTGAACCCCAGTAAAAAAAGATAATAATTATCTGAAATTCTACCCTCTTTCATAGATCAACATACTCTATAATTCCTCATGAAAAGAAAAAGAAAAAATTGCATTGTATAACACTTATTGTTTAAAGGTTACATTATTTTTGAATTAGACATAACAAATCTTCTGGGTTTAGAAAATTCTTCCAAATTCTACAAAAAAATAAAAGCAATATAAAGCTATTGGAATACTTCTAATTACAAAAGGGTTAAAAAATATTTTTTTGCTACTGTTCTTTTCTTAATTTTATAGTCTGTATCTGACTTATTCAGTTTTTCATCAATATTGATAATATTCCAGTAAATAGACGTACATAAAATTCCTTTGACAGTAAATTTCTATTAAAATCAAAGACAACAGATAATCTTCACTGCGTCAATAATGTTAATCTTATCTCCCATGTTGTTGATGAGTGATGACAAATATATTTTTTTCAATAATTATAAATACAACCTTGTATTAAAAATAAAAACAATAACAAGTGTTATAAAATAATTTCTAATAAAAGGATGTTTATAAAAATTCAGAAGAGCCTTCAATTGCTTGTAACTTGACAAATAAAGTAGATAAAATTTGAATGATTTGTATACTTTAGTGTAAAACACTGTGTGTCAAACAAGCATTATTTTTTCAACCATTTCCAAGCAAAGGGGAGAAGAAAAATCATGCAAGTGCAATTTGTTTTTTGAGTGCATCAGTCAATTGTGTATAAGAGACTGATCTCACCTATTACAAGAGGAGTTTCCAGTAGTATCCTCTTGAGTATTCACACTCACAACAGCATTCTCATCCAGGGAATCCCTCTCAGAGGTGTGACTGTACAAGGATTAAATGAGGAGAGACATTCAATTTATTTGTTTTTGGATTAGTTAAAAATAGTATTTAAAAAAGAGGCCTTACCTCATTGTGTCGTCTTTGTACCACTCGTTTTCATACGCCTGCATCCAAATTGGGTTTGAGCCTTCCACACTGTGCATGTTAGTGTTTGGGACTCTGTTGGGAACCCTTGTCATGTCTGACTCAGTAGAACCTGGAAAAATATAAATAAATAAACAATTTATAATTTTGGGATTTGCTGTTTTTCACTTACCAAAAGCCGTGACTGTAGCTGCCTTTAACTGCCGTTGATAGGATGACCGTTGGGACAAACATAAAGAGATAACAAGTATTAAAAGGACTGACAGAAATGCAGTAGCACCCAAAAGCCAAAGCATCATGACACTATCAGCATGAACCACTCTGGCCAAAGTTACTGCTTCCGCAGCTTGAGTATCCAGGACATTTGTTTCCTAAAAATATATAAATATAAATAAATAAATATTTTATGTATAAAACATGTATTTTACAAATGAACTTTCAACTCTAAAATGTTTGCTTTACCTTAAATAAATTGTCTAGCCTTTCTATGTTGTGGTCTATTAAACTAAGGACGTCTTGTACATCCAAAATAGAATGATCTTTAGGATCAACAAAATGCAAGTAAAGATCAGTTTTTGTTTTATCAACACGACCGTCTTTTGTTTCATGAACTTTGAACAAATCAACATTGACTATTGCACCTGTCACATTTCCAAGAACACTAAAAATAAAAACATCATTTTTTCTATATTTTTTTCAATATTTTTATAAAAATATTTTTCAAATTTTATGACATACTCTCTAAATTTGTCTATGTGGGTTCGGAGTTCTGGGGGGTGCTGCCGTAAGACAAATTTTACCCTCTGGTCTTCCCTCAAGAGGTAGATAAATACGTGCGCTTTATCTGATAATCCTCCTGTGTCATTGACCATGACGGTAAAGTCAAAATAGCCCTTCATTCCTTTTTGTGGATCAAAGTTGAGGAAAACACCACCTGTTTGCTGGTCTACTACAAAAGGAGGCTGCTGTATATTTTCCATCCCTTCACTTAGGGTCATCTGTGTTTTGCCTGTGATGAAGTAGCTCAGTTCTGAATTTTTCCCCGAATCTGGATCGTCAGCCTGTAAAATATTTGTTTTAACATCTTTTAAGTACTGCTGGAAAGTCTTCATACTTTAACTTGAAGAAATTCAGTTCCAAAATCGGCTTCAGTTGTAACGCCTCCTGTAAAAACTTTCTTAGCAAATTTAGGAGGATTGTCATTTACATCAATGACATTTATGATGATTTTTAAAGTTGTATCATCTTTTTTGCCTTCTTTTATTATTAAATCTGATTTCTGTGGCATTTTGGTGCAGTCTTCACTTGCTTTTATAATCATCTCATGTTGCTCTTTCTCTTCTCGATCCAAAGGTTTGACAACCTATAAAAACCAATTATAGTTTTGATGAAACAATTAATTAACTTAATTACTGAATTAATTGTAATGTCTTACAGTGATTTCATGGCTTAAAGGTTCGAGATGAAAATATCCTTCTTCATTCCCATCTATTACATAGTAGCAGACGGGAGTAGGTGGTTCCATGTCATCAATTTCATCTCTATCGACAGTTTCTACAATCTGCCTTCTTTCTATTCCTGGTTTCATGTTTTCTGATACCCAAAAAAAAAAAAAAAATCAATATTTAATAACATTTTATCATAATACAATATATTACATACCAGTAAAATTAACTGAATATTCTTCAATGAGGAATTGTGGCTGATAGTCATTAATGTTTCTGACATATATTGTCAAATCAAGATCAGTTGAAAGAGGAGTTGGTACACCATGGTCGTAAGCCTCAACACGAATCTAAAAAAAAAAGTTTTTAATCAAATGAGGTTTAATAAAAACAAAAACCTTTTAAAAAATATCAAAATGATTTTCAAAATAGTACATGATATAATTTTTGGGTCTCCCTGTCAAGAGGTCTTTTCAACATTACAACCCCAGTGTGTTGATCTATGTTAAAAGTTTTCCAATCACCAGTTAAATCTTGTTTAAGTTTGTAATTGACAAGTGCATTTTGCCCGATATCCTTATCAATTGCTTCAACCGTTATTACTATACTGCCAACAGTAGCGTTCTGTAATCAAAATAAAAATGATTAAACTTGTAAAAAATGGCAAATGAAAAATGAATAAACCTCAGGTATTCTGATTGTTGTGTTATGTTGAGGACTGACAAACATTGGAGGATTGTCATTAAAATCAGTGATGCAAATGTCAATATTTGCCAGTGTCGATTTTGGAGGTGAGCCAAGGTCTGATGCTTCTACTGTCAAAGAATAATTCCCATATCTTCCTTTAAGGGAACTGACACTTAACAGTCTTGAAGACCAAGAGTCTACCATTTCTAATTCGAATAACCCTATAAGACGAAACAGAAATTAATTAATTATTAAAATTAGTGTAAAAATATTTTACTTTTTTCATTGCCGGCAAGTATGTTAAATTTTATCTGCCCATTGGGAGTGGTCGGATCATCTGAGTCCACAGCTTTAAGTAGTAAAATTGTATCTCTTGGTTCATGAAATTCTGTTATGACCACACAGTTTTCTGGCAGATGAGTGAATCTTGGAATTTCATCATTTACATCCAACACGTTCACCCTGTACAAGTTATAATGTTAGCGAGGGTTACAATTGTAATTAGACGATCGTCTCACATTATCTGCTTAAATGCATTGCGGCTTTCACCACTGGCAAAACCAAACTGATAATTATCCCAAGCTTGGACAATGAGCATGTATGAGTTAACATCTTCCCGGTTCAATTGATCAGTAACATTAATTACACCTGTATCTGGATTGATTTGAAACTTCCCCTGAGATGATCTTCTATCAAGAAGATAAGTAATTTTACCGTAATCTCCAGAGTCAGCATCTTCCGCAACAATTTTGGCTATTTCTGTTCCTAAATGACAAAGATACCAGTAAAACTGTTTTTAAGATATATAACATTTATGAATATACCTATGGTCGTGTTTTCTAGGACATTGATGCTGTTTAATTCAGTTACAAAATAAGGATTGTTGTCATTTTCATCCAGCACTTGAATATAAACATCGACGAAGGACGACCGTGGTGGGATGCCCGAATCAGTTGCTTTTACAGTGACATTTATCCAACTGACTTGTTCTCTATCGAGGCGGCTTCCAACTACTAATTCACCCGTTGATGGATCAAGATTAATCAATTCAGTAATGCTTTGGCTTCGTTGCAATGAATAAGTTATGGTTCGGTTTTTATCAGCATCATCTGCTACTATGTTAGCTATAGTTACACCATTCTGTGAATTTTCAGTAACTGATCTCTTATAGTACGGTTTTCTAAAAATTGGATTATTGTCGTTTTCGTCTTCGACAAGAATATTCAATGTGCCAGATACAATTTGCTTTCCATTTTGAGCATTTGCATCTTCAACTGCTACAATAAGTTTGATGGTTTCTACCACCTCCCTATCTAGATTCTTAACCAGCCTGAGTACTCCCGTGTTTGGATCTAATTCAAAAGTTGCACTAAGATCGACTTCTGAACGTTTAATCAGCCTTCCTTCTTGTGTTCGTCCTTCAATACCACTGGGATCTATCGTATATTTCAATCTTGCATTGGAATCCAGATCTGTTGCAACAAGCCTTGCAGCAATATGACCAACCTGTTCAATGACCGTAAATAGTAATTTGAAATACCAAATTATTGAAAAATAAATAAAACATACCGCTGTGTTCTCTCTGATAACAATATTACCAGGATCTTGAAGTGATGGTAGTTTGTTGTTGACATCAGTGACTTGGATGCTGACTTTAATAACTGAACTTTGTCTTTGCTTCCCTATCCCTCCATCTAAGCCCATAACACTTAACGTATACCTACACAATATGATAATTTATTAAACAATCAATTCATTTGAAAAAATTTAAATTAAGTTATTTTACTTTGTAGTGCGTGGCTGTGTTAAATCAGGGTCAAGCTTAGCGCCGATGGCCACACTAATGACACCTGTGTTTGAATCGATAACAAATTTATCTCCGGCACCGTCGATAATCCGATAAACAATTTCATTATTTGGAGCAGAACCATCAGCATCATGAGCAGTAACCTAAAAGAAAAAAAAAATTAAAAAAATTCATATATAAGTAAAAAAAATTGTACTTTTAGAATAGATGTTGCACTAGGAGTATCTTCTGGGATGATGGTTGAGTAGCTTTCTGATTCAAATATTGGTGCATGATCATTTACATCTTGAATATATATAGTTACAGTTGCAACTGAAGACATGCTTGGTCGCCCTCCATCTTCTGCTTTTACCTGTACCAAATGAAAATTAATATATTTTTTACTAAATTGTAGAAGTATCCATTTTTCTTAAAGTTGTTGTTCATGGTTGTTGGTGGTCAAGTTTGTTAAAAATGTGGTACAAAAACAACCAGCTCTCTTGCATATAGTGCATATATTTTGGGATTCACATGTCCCCTCTTCAGCAATAACTGTTGCCAGCCTGGAAGGATGTGGATGAAAGGAACAAAATGATAAAAGGATCTGTCCAGGTGGGTGAAAGTTATAATTTGTTGTATTGTTCCAAGTTTTTAACAAGCCTGACTACTGAGTACATTTTTTATTTTGTTTTCCTTGTATTTATATTGTACCTGGAGTGTTAATGGATAAGATCCAAGAAGTGTGTTTTTTTCTGGTCTCAGCAGTGCTTCAAAATCCAAAGGCTTTTTCGGTTGTAGTTCACCTGTCATTGGATCTAATGTAAAATTCTCCTTGAAATGAGACCAGCCTACCAAAGAATAACGAATTTCGCTGTTTCTTGTTCCTACAAAACAATACAAATTCTTGAATGCCTTGCAAATTTATAAAATAATAGACAAATTGTTCTACCATTGAGATCTGCATCCCTTGCTTCTAGCAGGAGTGGTGATTCGAAGCTCTTTTCATTTTCAAGGAGCCTTGCTTCATAAGAAGTTTGCAAAAACGTAGGTGCATTGTCATTTACATCTTCCACGTTTATAACAAGTTGTACTGTATTCCTAGCATAAACAATATAATTTTTATTTAATTAAGAAAAAAGAAAAACAAACAAACCTGTTTCCTAATCCTAAATCATCTCTAGCTTCAACAGTAAGATAGTGTTTTGGAATAAGTTCCCTATCAAAAGTGGGCTGTTCAGATTTTATTGTGATGGCACCAGATATTGGATCCAATGCTAACCTAGAACAACCAAAATTAACAATAAAAAAAATTGAATATATCTATAGGAAATAATAAAATAAAATACTCACAAGTCTGCCACACTTCCACCAAGGTTGGTATATCTAATGCCATCACTACCAAACTTTCCTGAATCCATATCCCGAGCGTAAACAATTGCAACTGTTGTTCCCATCACAGAGTTTTCAGGTACTGATGCCTTTTAGAAAGAAAAACAAGTTTGAAATATGTAAAATTAAGTTATTGTTTAGGGGTTTATTAGGTTATTGTTAATACCTCATATAATGGCTTGCTGAATTCAGGAAAGTTATCATTCATGTCCCTTACATGTACAGTGACAGGTACTGAATCAGATTTTGGACTGTTGGTAACTGTTTCTTTTGCAACTAGTGTGAAGTTGATCACTTAAAAAAAAATATATATATTTATTTCATCCATTTATGTTTACATCAAGTTGTAAATGTTTACATACTATTCATTTTTTCATAATCTAATTTTGTGGGGTCTTTAACACGAATTAGAAAGGAAGCTTCATTCACCCCTCGATGAGGAGTAACTTCAAAAATGTCATCATCACCAATAAGAACCATTTCAAATGTTCCATTGTTTCCCTAAAAACATCAATTGTTTCAGCAAAAAAATTGGATATATTGTATCATAATATATACCTGATCATAATCATAAACTTGCGGTACTGCAGGTGGGAGGAAAGTCAGCGGTGTGTTAACCTGTGCATTTTCGTTGACACTACAGACATATTTTTCACTTCTGAATTTTGGTAGTTCATCATTAATGTCTGTGACAATTATGGTAACTTCTGTTTTAGCAGTGGGTGGTGGGAAAATGGCTCTCGATTCCTCTCTTGCCTTAAGAAAAATATCATGAATAGAACGGCCAAAGAAAGCCAATAACATAGTTTGTAGTTGTTACCTGTATCTCAAGAATGTAAGCACCATTGTTTTGATTTATAATCTCTTCCCTATCGACTGCAATCAATGTAAAAACAGTGCCAGTTGATGAGTCAATTTCAAAAACTCCTCTGCCTTCTGTGTTGCTAATTGTATAACTGATTTTATTATTGATACCTCTATCACCATCAATAGCACGGACTGCAACAAAATTTTAATTATTGAACTCTAGACTATACAATTTCATATCGATAAAATTAAAAAGTGGGCCTGCAGTGTGCTTATCACAATTATGACACATTAATACTGATATAATTAACTTTTTCTAGTCATATAATGTTGGCAAATGCAGTATGAAGCTGATTTTTAAAGTTAAAAAAAAATTAATTTTATAAACATAATAAAATAATAAGAGCAATAATAATAAAATATAAATAAAATAATAATAATAAAACATATAATAAAATATAAAAAACAATAATGAAACTAATATATTCTTTAAAATATTAATTATTGGGTGTTGTGTGTTTGAATCCCGCTTGTGACATTAGCTTTTTCATCTCAACCAAGACCTTAGATAAAAAGAATAATTAATTGAAATAATTAATATGGTCAATTATGACCGTTAAACATGTAAGAATTTTGAAAGAAAAGCCGAAAGAGAAAAAAGGTAAAAGGAGACGGAAAAAGAAAAGGGAGAGGGAAGAAAAGGAGATGATTAATGTAGTTTTTAAAAACTCAGATGTCATGGACCTGAAACTAGCCAGCAAGGAAGCAGAACGGGGGTAGCAAATTCCATAGTCTTGACACTGCAATTCTGAAGGATGAGGGTAAAGTTTTAGAGGAGAATCGAAGGCTTGGGATATGATTGGTCATTTGGATAAGGAATGTGTGAAATATATTCAGGGATATTGAGGACTTTTATTTGATTTGATTTTAAATATGTACATTAAAACTATAAGTTTATAAATCCTTAGAATGTGCAGGTTGCTGAAGGCATTAATTTCTATATGTATTATTAATATTTATTAGTATATATAATTATAATAATTATTATTATTAATTTTTAAGGGTGTTTTTATGGCTAAGGTTATTTCACACTCTAAATGATATATGTAAAACTTCTATCTTAAGCCACCTATATCCCTTCTGACTGCTAACATTCTAAGCTCTGACTCCAAACATTCACTCATAATCTAATCAATCCTATTGCCATCCAAAGCTGCCATCAAAGCCTTTTAAAATATTAAATTGCAAGGTCAAATGTATGTGAAAAACCTATTTTAAATTATAAAATTTATTCCTGTTCTTTAATTAGAATTTCAAAATTTACACATTTCCCATAGGATATTATTGTGTGGCCAATAATAATAATGGAGTCAGACTAGCAAACAGACTCAGCAAAAGTATAGGCTCATCGTTCTTCTTTTGTTCTTCCTCTATAATTAATTACACTAATGGTACTTAACAACAATAATAAAACAAAAACACAAAAACACTGTTTTTTATATATTTTTTTAAATTTATTTATTTTTTATTTATTTATTTATTTTATTTATTTTTAATAAAGCTATCTTTCCTTATTTAAGTGCTATTATNTATTATATTTATTAATATGATTTCTTGTTTTAAGATCATAATGGCATCTAATTAATTAATTAAGGTTGCAATAGATTTTTCCCAATTTCAAGGTTCATGACTTGCTTCAGACAGGTTTCAAAATAATAAAACAACAAATTAATAAAAGTAAATAGGACTTAAAATCCACCTTGAAGAACTGAGGTACCAATAGGAGAATTTTCCACAATTCGTGTTACTGGAGAGGCGACTATGAATTCGGGTGGCTGGTCTTCAACGTCTTGGACTTTGACTAAAAGAGCAGCAGTGCCGGTATTAACCTAGAATAAAATGTGTATTAGAGATTCAAGTGCAAATGCTGTAATTTTTCTATTTTAGTGTTTACCCTGTCGTTGTTAGATCTGTCTACAGCAAGTACTTTGAGCTGGTAAAGGTATTTTTTTTCGTAATCTAATTTACCAACAAGCCTAACAATCCCTTTACCATTAACTGTTGACACGGAGAACACAGAGTCTTCGTTGTCTTGTGAGTCCAAACTATATACTACCTGGATAAACAAAATAAATAATAGTTAATTGATAATTTTCTGTCATTGAATGTCTTAAGGCAAAATTATTATTATTTATTGTTTTGATTTGACATTTGTTTATTACCTGCCCGTAAGGACCTTCATCGGCATCTGTCGCCTCCAGCTTGGTCAGGATACCTGGCTCGATGTCTTCTGGGACCGTGATTGTGCTTTGGTACGGCTTAAATATCGGTACGTTGTCGTTGACATCTTCCACAAGAAGGAGCATGCTTTGAGTTATGAAGTTACCGTCGCCAAGTCTGCCATCAGTCAGCGTCAGCACCAGCATATACTCATCCCTTATTTCCCTATCCAGCTCCTTGTTGAGGTAGACATTTGCTTCGTTGCTTTTGAGATTTTCTATAGATATGACATCCGATCCGCTATACTCCTTTATTCCGAATGTAAGCGGGTCTCCGTCTGGGTCCATACCTCTTAAGCGGTAAATTAAAGATCCTAAAGAACAAATAGATCAACATGTATGTTTATTGCTAAAAATATGAAACATTCTAAGAATCCAGTTGTTAAATCAATTAATCAATTCATCTTGTTTATGTTTAGGTAAAATAAATAATCCATCATATTTTCATTCAATAATCCATTAAATTGTAGACTTTCAAAAAGGGATTCCCAAAGAGCCCAACAAAAATGTAAGTCTTTAAAAACTAATGATGTTTAATTATAACTTAAACTAATCATGAAAAGATAAAGCTGAACAACAGAAGCAACTGCTCTAAGATATATTTGGTCAAGTGGAAACCATAATATTGTTAATATTAGAAGATGAAATTTTATCTTACATTAATGTTGTTTCCAAACTATGCTTTGTGACAAATATGGAGCTTCCTCAACATTAAAACAAGGCCAGAAGAATGTTTAAATGTTTAGAAATACTTTTCTTACATACTAAATCAACCAGCTATTGTGGCCGCTTCGACAACAAATGACAAAGAACTTTCTAATGCCATCAATTATCAAATATTTTTTAGGTAAGCATGCTATATTTTATTAATGTTTCATTTCCAAATTACGCCAGTTATACATATACATTTGGGAAAAATCAGTTGATTGTTGTTTATATACTTTTATTATACTTCATTATGGTCAAACATTTCTTAGTAGTACATACCAACAGGAGTTTCTGAGCCTTCTTTCAGCCTGAGGACGATTTCGGTCTGGCCGTCTATCAAGAAGCGGGGTGGCCTGTTGCCTGCTGCACAATTGACAAGGAGGCAGAGGCAGAAGCTGAGGAGAAGACGCCCCCGATCGTGTGTCCATCGTCGCTTCATACCTACTCGAGAGCATCCCACCTTCCAGGTTTGACACAAAACTGGTTTTACCTTTTGTTGAAAAAAGCCGGGAAATCCAACTTGGGGATGTTCTTTTTCATCGCATCAGAAAACCTGCAACAAAATGAAAGACAAGTTTATATACACATAATGATAAGAATGTGTTAAGAAAAATGTATTTTGAGAAAATTTCTATGCAGAAAGTCATAAAATGACAAGAATACTAGTTTGTCTATTTTGGTTATAACTGACAATTCAGAAAATAAAGTGCATTGTTGACTGTTCTTCTGAAGTAGAATCGGATTCTCTTCAATTGCAATGAAGAGAATGGAACGTCTGGTTGAACAAATGGGTGGGTGCTACCTATACCTTTATATGTATAGGGTATGTTTGTTATTATCAACAACAATTAAAGCAATCATTTTCATCTTGAGAGGCTGTTTTTCATTCATGGTACAGAAAAAAATGGAATTTTAGGTTATGCATGGTGTTCCTTGTTCATGAAAACTTTAAAAAGGAAGCTGAAGTAATTTGTCTTGTCCGAAGGTAACGATATATTGTATTTAGGAAGCATTCTAGTTCATACGTTGTTAAATGCTGGTAATACATTATCCATGATCATCCTTTATCAGGTTGCTCTTCAGTGGTCAATTATGCTGAATTAGTTAAACCAGTATTGTAAGATACTATAATATAAATTCTGGTATTAGTTAGTTATATTAGAGTTAGTTATATAGTTATATTAGATTACATTAGTTTGAAGAAGCATAATTTTTTCCCATTTTCTAGTACACTCTGGAAAAAAGAGTTTTTATTTTGCATATTTCTTAAAAACTAATACATGGATGTAACAAGCTTATTAATAATTATACTAATTATTATTATTATTAATTTTTAAGGGCGTTTTAACAGTTAAGGTCATTTCACGTCCTATATACTAATTATTATTATTAAAATTATTATTGACTAATCTAGTGATAGCTCTCCATATACTATTTAAGTAAGTAGAAAAATAATTGAATAAAATATTGATATTTTTATGTATAAATGTCTGTTATATAATTACAATTTGTTGAACTTTTTGAACTCAATTATATAACCCTTGATACATCAGTCATTTCAGCTGGCCACTCCATCTTTTAAAAGAATCGTTCCGTGACCCCTCGAACATTGGCCAAACAAACATGATCCCAGGCTTGTAGATAACACGTGAATGTTGTACTTGAAATGTCACAAGGCGTGGAAGGAAGTGGCTCTTGCCTCAAAATAAAAGGAATTTTGTTTTAGGGAAATCACAAAATATGATAGTAGGGAGATGATTTTACTCTTAAAGGCAAAAAAGTGGCTACCCTTGTTTTTATTTTTTATTTTTATTTATTTATTTTTTTATTATTTTTTTTAAAAGTAAATACTTGCAATCGTTATAACTTTAATTTTTTGTTTTTTTACTGGATATTTTTAAAGAAAATATAAGATATAGCTAAATAAAATCAATAAAAAATTATTGTATTATTAGAGTAAAACAATTTTACCAAAAATGCTGGTATGGAACGAATGAAGAAAATATTCAATTCAGTAACGAGCATTTAAGGAGCAACAATTGACAATAAACTCAACCATTATTTGATTCTTGCATAAAAAATAAACTTCTGATTTTTCCTTATTGAAGGCGGATCATCTAAAAAAATCCCAGCTTTTTTCAATCCTCAATGTTTTGGATTTATTTTAATCCTTCCTCAGGTGTGTAGTGGTTAAAACACTGGTCATCAGTTATTAATATTTTATTTTAAAAGAAACCAGAATGATACACTTTTTTAAGTCCTTCGGGCTCTAAACTAGAAACTAGTAATAATAATAATGTAATAGTAATATTTTATGAATTAAATATTTTACTAGACCAGTACGAGACCTTAGTTTTGTCAGTAGGTAGTATATACACCTTTACAAATAAGACTACAGTTACATACATCACAGTATACAGATATACAATAATATATTGCAGTAGCGTAATATAGGATATTAGCAGAGATTCTGAAGTAAAAATATTTTCAGTTCGATTTTAAGAATTTCAAAGTTGATTTATTGTCAAAAGAGTGAACTATTTAAAACATTTAAGCCGAGAAGCCATCTGATCATACTAGTTTAGTATCGGAGAACGTCAGCCCCCTCCAACAACGGTCCCATGGTGTAATGGTTAGCACTCTGGACTCTGAATCCAGCGATCCGAGTTCAAATCTCGGTGGGACCTAAACATTTTTTTCTTTTTCTAATAGGGAAAAAATCAACTTAAAAAGCTTTTAACGTGTACAATTAAATTCCGTTTTTAATTTTTTTGAAATTTATAAATAAATAATTACATGGAATTATTGAAAAATATAGGTAATACTTAGCATATCTATTAAATTTATGAGCGTTTCTTAATTGAAAAAAATGAAAATGAATTACTATTGATTTGTTTTGTAAATTTGGGACATGTGATGGATCAATGACTGAAAACACATATAAAGTGAAATAACTCTGAAATATTGACTGTTAATCAGTTTTTAACTCCATTGTTTTAGCAGTCGAATAATAACTACAGAGTGACATATATATTTTCTTTTTTAGTTAGACAACGTTCTGGCCATATTTTTTGTTTTACTTCTTTAAAATGATTTAATAATTATAATTAGTTGGCAAGTATTTGCTTTTGTCGTCGATAGTGAAGTTTTAAAAACTCCGCAATTTTAATCTTTTAAAAATGTCTTTATTCACTATTGCACTGGTGGCACAAAACAAAACGATTACAAAAATATCCTTAATCAGCGAGCAAGTTGCCCGTATTGTCGGACATTCAGAGGTACCAGGGGATTGCGAGGTGAATCCGGAGACGAGGGACGCCCAAGAGCCAAGGGACCAGCTGACGACCGATTTCACACTCTAAGACATCGCTTTGCCATTGCTTCTGAAACGTCTCAAAGATTTCCAAATGTGAGGGATGTGTCCGTGAGCGCTGAAACAGTACGAAGGTGGCTTGCAGAAGTGAGCCTACATTCCACAAGGCCAGCAATGGGATCCAGCGCTTACCAGAGACCGCTTGTTTGCAAGGGACACCGACATTGGGCGGAAACAGAAATGAAGGAATGTTAAGTCGCAGTAAGGAATCTCCGTTCTCCAGATAGACGTCTTCGAGTTTATCGAGCCGCTGTAGAGTACTACAGCCAATGCGACATTGCCGGAAGAGGGTCGTTCGGAGGTGGTTCAGTTATGGTACGGAGTGAAATTTCTTAGGAGGCAAAAACGGAGTTACACATTTTTAATAGGACGTCACTTAATATAGAAATCAACATGACAGAAATTCTTTAGGAATGTGTGGTGCATTTGCTCCGTTTATTGGCGATCAATTTTTGTTTGTGAAAGATAGTGCAAGACCAACTGTCGGCACTTGTGCTTTGTAGTATAATTGATATGTCAACATTTTCATCCTAAGACAACCATCCCATATTTCTGATTTGAACCTAATGAGTACTTTTGGGACGAGCTCGGACGTCGGGTAAAACGAAGAAATAACCCTTCTACAGCCTTAGCTGAGATGAAAGTTACGTTGAGATTCGGTATGAAAGTGTCAAGAAGTGGTTAAAAGCTTAATTATGGGCATATTGAGAATTTATAATATTTTAAAAGAGAAAGAGTAGGTAATTCACACTATTAAAGATTGTTACATTTGTTTTATAAAGTTTTATGTTCGTACACGAAAATGATTTTTTCTTTTTTAATTAATTTGGATTTTGAGAGATATTTTTATTTTCCCACTAACCAAATGTTTTAATAAATACAAGAATTATAAAAAATATCGGTGCTAATATTACTGAAAAGGCAAGTGCATAAAAACATCAAAATTTAAAAGTGCTAAAAAAAGTAATATATATTATGCAGGGTGGGCGACCAAGACCCGAGGGGTTAAATGCCTGGGTAGACTCGTACCCCATCCCTAAAAGGTCCGGGACTTGGTCGGTTCTTGGACTTGTTCATAAACCCCAAGATTTTGGCCCATTTTATCTCGGGGAGTGATTTGGTGATGTCCGCTCCTACAAAGGTTTCAAATCTGGACCTAGCATACCTCTACACACTCTGTGAGGTAGTGCCTTGCCGTTTCTTCTTTTATTTCGCAAAAACGGCAAAAGGAATCTGGAAGAATACCCTTTACGGAGAGGTGTCTTCTCAGTGGGCAGTCAGGATACATATCAGCCTCCTAATTTCCTTCCTTGAGATAGAGAGTAGCCATTTTGATTCCTGGTTTGATCACCTTAACGAACTCTTTCGATTGCCTGTGTCGGGGGGATAAATTCCACTACCTAAGGAATTGTTTCATGCCCCAGTTATTACTACTCTCTTTCGCTGAGCTCATAGAGTGAGGTGATACCGGTTTTGGCCCGACAAACGCAGTATTAGAATCTTCTTTGGCCAGGCCATCCGACTTTCATTGCCATGGTGTCCTTTATGTGTTGGTATCCAAATAAGGGTTACCTTGTTCTCAAACCTGGAAGAGATCTTATTGATAAGATCTACAGTTTCCTCCACCAGTCTTGAGGTTGACAAATGTTTTTGTAATGACCTGTTTTTGTTTGACTGTCAGAAAAAAATTCTAATATCCTTTCCCTTAATTTTATTTTTTTTTCATAAGTTTTCTACAACACAAATTAATGGCCCAGATTTCCGCCTGAAAAACGGAGGTGTTATTATCAAGAAGGGAGGAGATGCTGATTCTTAATTTCGGTATGTAGATTCCTGCACCACTCCCTCTACCTTTCAGTCAAAATCTAATAGCACAGGATTGGGCATTTTAAATCTAAAACAGGGAGGGCCATCTTGTAACAAAAAGCATACCACCCACGCGTCTTCCGTCGGGCATCATTCAAACGGTCGATCTTATCAAAATTTTCCCTTCAGTAAAATTGGAATAAAATGAGCTCTAGAATTGTACCATAAAAATACTGGATTCTCATTTAAAATAACAAAGTTAGTGTCATTTTCCAATTAGATGAGAACGTTATGTTAAATCTGTTACCACCACACGATTGGTAGCCAAAATTAACTTGGAGTTTGTATAAGATCATTTTTTGCTAAAGTTACTC